TACTCCAGGACTTCTGTGAGGATCAAATGAGATGAGGCATGGGAAAACACTTCACAGACATTTGGTTATAGTGTGAAATGTTTCCACCTGGCTCTAAAGCAAGTTGTGTTCCTGGGCTGAAGAAACTCCAAGGAGGCTAGTCGCTAGGGAGAGGAAGCTGGGCGTTGCTACGTGACATCATTACCCAGTGCCCACAGCCACTGTTTCTGGGCTGGGCTGGTTTGGGCTGTGGGCTGCATTCTCGGCAGCACTAGCTGTGATATCATGGGGTGTCGCTCCAGGGTGGTGGCAGGGCCTGTGTCCCACTTGGGGGAAGCTGAGTGTTGCTCTCTGGATGCCAGGCCCAAGGTGCCATTTCTCTGTAAATGGCCAATGCACATCTCGACAGCTTCTGAACTGAGCGTCTGCCCCCTGGTGGTCAGTGTGTGTCATAGCAACTGGTCAGTCAGTTGGACACTTAGCATATTAGCCTTTTATATATATAAACTAGAGGCTCGGTGCACAAAAATTCATGCACTGGACGGAGTGGTCCTTCAGCCCAGCCTGTGCCCTCTCGCAGTATGGGAGCCCTTGGGGTATATCTAACAGATGGCTTAGGCCCGCTTCCCATGTGGGCCTAAGCCAGTGGTTGGCAAACTGCAGCTCGAGAGCCACATGTGGCTTTTGGCCCCTTGAGTGTGGCCCTTCCCACAAAAAATCCCCCCTCTGCCGCCACTGGTCACCGCTGCCCCCAATCGCCAGCCCTTCCCTCTGCCCACTGGCCTGGCACTGCCTGCTCACCGGCCCCACCCCTCACCCACCAGTTGTTCCACGGTTCAGTTGATTTGCATATTGCACTTTTATTATATAGGATTACTTAAATGTGTATGAGAGTTGTGCAAAATGAATCCAGGTTCACCAAGGCACAAAGCTACCTCGGTATTACCACTCTGTGGACAGGTCCATTCCAGAAGCCAGAGTTGCCTTTGCAACCGTTTTTTAGGACAACCTCTTATTGGGAATCTGAGTGCCTAGACCCCGTCTTTGCACAATGTTCTCCTGAAATGACCTGTGAGTGCTTTTCAGGCTGGGGCATTTGGCGTTGGGTGGGCTGATTCATCGCTGTCTCAGCCTGTTCCGTCACCTAGAACAGTGGTCAGCGGTCGCCAACCTTTCGGACCTCACAAACCACCAGTGGTCTTTGCACGATGTTCTCCTGAAGTGACCTGTGGGTGCTTTTCAGGCTGGGGCATTTGGCGGGCGGGCTGATTCATCGCTGTCTCAGCCTGTTCCGTCACCTAGAACAGTGGTCAGCGGTCGCCAACCTTTCGGACCTCACAAACCACCAGTGGTCCATGGACCACCAGTTGGCGACCCCTGATCTAGAACATCAGTAGAGTGGCTGTAAAGATCAACTACAGGGAAGACATTGCCAAAACCAAATTGCTAGGACGTGACGTTTATTCACTGAGCATCGTCTCGTGCAAGTGATGTTTGGAGGCCACCTCACCCTTTTTGGAAATTAGCGCGATTTCCTCTGAAATCCTGCTTGGTTAAAAGTTCTGTTGGGCAGTCCACAGAGGACAGTTCAGGAATGTTCAGGATTACCGCCGGGTGTTTAATTGTAGCCGGGGTCACTGCGTCCCAGATAGGTGCGTGAATGTTACGGTTTCCTTGTTCTTGTTTGGTCTTCCCGCCAGGAGGGGAAACAGCAGAAATGCCGGACATGTATCCCCCTGGGGAGTACGACCTGGCCGGGTTCGCCGTGGGGGCTGTGGAGCGGGACCAGCAACTCCCTCGCCTGGAAAAATTAGCGTGATTTCCTCTGAAATCATGCTTGGTTAAAAGTTCTGTTGGGGGAGAACCAAGATGGCGGCATAGGTTAACGCCGGAGTTTGCCGCCTCGAACAACGATTTCAAAAGTGAAACTAAAAGACGGAAGGGACATCACCCAGACCCACAGGAACGTTGGCTGAGTGGAAGTCCTACAACTAGGAGGAAAGAGAAACGCATACTGACACTCAGAGGAGGCGCAGTGCTGAAGTGAAATACTGAGGTGCGGAGGGCATGCAGAGC